TTTTCTTTTTTTTTAAGACAGAGGGCTACCTAACTGTCTCACCATAATTTACTACAGTAAATTATATGATATACCATATATTACTTGGTTTATACCAGGATTCTCAATTCTGTTCAATTTATCTGTCCATTCAAGAACATTGCTTTAATTATTGAGGCTCTGTAATGTTTTAAATTTGGTAGCACTAGCCTTCCTGTTCCCTGCTCCCCCTGCCAGTGCCCTTCTCAGTTTTCCTTGCCATTACTACCAAAAAATTTAAAAATCCTAATTAAAAACACCAAACCTATTTGTTGGAATTACAATTTTATAAAATTTATCCTATAAAAGTATCAAATACACACAAAAACAAAAGAGCATAATTAACTCTCATGTACTTATCATCTGTCTTCAACAAATGTCAATGGTTTTGGATTACACTAAATTTTAAATTAATTTTGGGAAAATCAATATCCTTATGGCACTGATTCTCCTTTTCCAAGAACATCTATCTTTCCATCTATTTATCTTCCTTCTTCTAGTAGTAAAGCTGCTGGCATGTAAGTTTTGCTTATTTCTAATGATGTTATTTTGTAGCTCAATAATGTACTAAATTATTTTATTATTTGTTATCATTTTTCAGTTGATTCGCTTGAAGTGCCTAGGTTTGAATCAGAGAATCTACAAATAGAATTAGTTTTCTCTCCTTCTTGATTTATCTTCTATGTTCTTTCTCTTTTCTAATAGCACTGACTAGTACCTCTGGTAAAATATTAAATAATGGTGTAATAGTGGCCATCCAAATCCTGTTTTGACTATAGAGGAAATGTTTTTAGTATTTCCCCATTAAACATGATACAGATTTTCACTTGAGATAAATATACTTTACCATTATAAGCCAGTGTGATTATTCATATTTTCTCATTTAAAAAAATCAAGAATGTAAATTGTATTTTGTCAAAAACCTTTTGGGTATCTATGAATATGGGCATGATTTTATACCTTAGCTCTAAGCCCTACTCATATGATTGATTATATAACATTTTGCTCCAATTCTCTCTTGCCTGGTATCAGTAACACCATGACTTCTACTTTCATTTTGAGGGGATTTGCTTAACTTAACTATCTTTTTTCATCCTTTTAACTTTTCCAAATAATTTTGTTTTAGATGTGCCTCTATAAGTACACAAAATTGGGGTTTTTTTGGTGATCCAAACTGAAATTCGTTTTCTCTGAATAGGTGAGTTTAACCCATTTACATTGATGGATATGAAAAACATTTTTTGATCATACTCTACCATTTTATGTTATCTTTTTTGCATTTGTAGTTTCTGTTTTCTTTTGTTTTTAAGCAGTTCACTACATGGTCTTTTTGACTTTTTCCTAAATATTAGTTCTTATATTTAGGAAGTTTTGTGTTTTTGTTTTAGTAGCTAACTTTGTAATTACATTATAGAATACCTTTAGTTCTCTATTTTCAACACTATTTATTAATTTCCTATCATGAACAATGATAAAATTAGTATATTTCTTTATTCCTCCCCTTCTCTTTTTTTCATCATTTTTTTTTTTTTAACTCAAAAGGTAGATGTATTGATGATACTAACAGCAAATACAGAGGTGGGCACAGAGTTAGTACACAGCTTTAATATATTTTTTGGGAGTTAGAAATCAAACCATGTCGTAGTCCAATTGACTTCAAGGTGGGAAATGGTACTTCACTTTTTTTAAATGTCACTTTCATTAAGGTATAATTTACAGGCAATAATGAAACTCGCTGTTTTTGGCTTTTTCGGTGTAGTATTCTACATGATTTGATAAACACATACAGTCATGTAATCACCACCATAATCAAGATATAGACAGAATCTCTCACCACAAGCTTCACCCACTAAATTTAATCAATAGTATTATTTTAGTATTAACTCTGTAGTGCTAAATGTGCTTACAATTCTATTACTTGATTTGTCACCTTTAAATGAGAGTCCATGAATTCCTGCTATTAAAGATAATGCAACTCAAGTATATACACTTCTTCCTACCTTCCTCCTGCATTCTCTTTCCAATTTTTGTAAAATACAGTATTTGACATTGTTAGGGTATTAAATACATACATTCTATGTAGTCATCCTAAAACATACATTTGTTTTTGTCTTAATTCTAGTTGTAAAAATATGCATAGGTCACAGCATATCTTTCTTTCCCCCCAATTTTTAATTTAAATTCCAGCTAGCTTACATACAATGCAATATTAGTTTCAGGTGTAGAATTTAATGACTTATCACTTACATACAACACCCTGTGCTCATCACAAGTGCCCCTCCTTATACCCATTGGGTATTTAACCCATTCCCCTGCCCACAGCAAATCATTTCCTTAGTTTTCCTCTTTATCTATAGCCTAGCTGAATGTAAAACACTACAGTTCCTGACACAACTAGTGCTTTATAAATCTTAGCTAAAAATAGAAGCAATCTTTAGTAAATACATTTTCATTAACTTTATAAAATTATATTTTTAGTAGTAATAGCAGTAAATGAATACCTCTAAAATACTGCAGAATTTGCTTGGTGATAACAGGGAGAAGAAATACTTTGGCTGACTGTGTTTTATAAAGGACTTCCTCCATACCACTGTATATATAGTGAGACATAAATTGAACCTAAATTCATGGGAAAATATCAGTTGTGGTCCCTTCATGTTTATAAGAATCTTTAATATTTTCCCTCTCTCATAATTCAATCATTCTTCTAGAATCATTGCACTAATTGCTTAGTAAATCTTTCTTTTAGAAAAACATAAAGAAAAATTTGCTTTGTAACAGAAGAATGAGCACCTAGATGATTGGAGATATTCATCAGGCATACTCCAATACAAAATAAGCTAAATAGTCTACTTCATGTTACTCATTTCTGACTTTGCCTTCTTTTCTCTTAATTCTGTTAACAAGCAACATTCAATGGCACAGCCTAGGCAGTTAAATGCTGACCTCTCTTCAATATGCCTCCAGATTACCTCAGTGCTAATATTAGGTACATAAAAATATGAAAAGAACTAGATTTAGGAGCCTCCACTACATCCCTGATGATGGGAAATACTCTGCTACTGTTTAATCAACTATAACTTCATTATTTTCATGCTGTAAGTTCTTAATGAATTTCATCAGGAGTTCAATTTAAATGTATTAAGTTGCTGTCAGTCCTTCAGTAAGATCGATGAATACCATTCAGGGAGGTATGGAAACAGTTTCCTGAATCTTCCCTAGAACTTCAAGGCAAGAATCAGATTCAATAAAGTGCACTTTAGTAGGGAACAAAAAGGGATGTTGAAAAGAACACGAATATTGGAACTGGCAGATCTCAGTCTTTAAAAAAATAGTCAAGGCTTGACCACTTAATATGTGTCCTCTAGGACACCTTTGTTTCTAAAATTCAAAGGGCTGTTGTGAGGATTAGACATGTAATAATATAAATAAAAGTATAGTTTCTGGCAGCTAGTAGACAATCAACAAATGGTAGGTAATAATTAGTTTCAGTTATTAAGTATAACAGTCATTTTAAAAAAGCCACTGCAACTATAGAAAGATATAGCCAATTTTTGCAGGGTAAAGTATATCTAAAAATTCTAGCCAGGTTCATGTCAGAGATCAGTAATACATCTTGAAATGCTTGCAGAAAATATAGTGATAAAATAAATGAAAGTATTTTGAAAAAGATAGGCAAACCATTTAAAAGCTATTATTAAAGAATTTTATTGTACTGGAGAATTTTCTGTGCTTTATGTTCTGGCCTCACTGATTTTTACTGTACCATAATTGCCAAAGTGATTTCACAGAATATGGATGGGCAGGAGGCATAACTACGATCAAGTGCTTTATGTTACTAGTTCAAAATGTCCAATTTTCATCTATTTTTTTAAAATAATAATTTTCCAGATTTTAGATTTTATTTATCTATTTGAGACAGAAAGAGAGAGAGCATGAGAGGAGGGGAGGGGAGGGAAGGGAAGGGAAGGGGCAGAGCGAGAGGGAGAAGCAAACTCCCCACTGAGCAGAGCTTGATTCCAGGACCCTGAGACCATGACCTGAACTGAAGGCAGACGCTTAACCAACTGAGCCACCCAGGCGCCCCTTTACATAACAATTTTATCAACTGTACTCTGACCACAGAAACCATTTGTTGATCTTGAAGCTTTGAGGAAGTGAAGGTTCAGGGAGAGGTGAATGAAGGGAGACAGATGCTATTCAATTCAGTTTTAATGATTTGATTAAATAAACTTACATGATGCTCTATCTATGTTCCAGGAGCAGTAGAGCTTGTTCAAGAGTAAAAGATGGACAAAACATAATCCCTGCCTTGAAAAGGACTGTTTGTATATAACTGTTCATAGCAGAAGGCTTATAAAAACACATTCTCAAAACATACTCTCATTTAGAGTATACAGAATTAATATGAGAAAGCTTTCCAAATTTATTGCGATCTAATAAAAATACTGATAAAAAATCCAGTATGTCTAGTATAAAAATACTGATTGGGTATGCTGCACTTCATAAACTTAGTAGAAACCAATCACTTTTTAAATGTTCTCATTAAATCACAGAGATGACAGGTTTATATATTTAGTGAAGTCATGGAAAATTGTCCAGTAAAGTAGGTAATATCCAACCTAGTATGAAATACTCTATTGGAAAAAAAAAAAAAAAAGACTAAATGTCATAAGCATTAAAAATCAAAAGGAGTTTGTTAGATTTTGATTTCAACAGCAAAGAGCTTCCAAAGCTAGTCCTACCACTAGTATTTTTATAAAAAGCATTCTTGAGATACCATTAACTTGAAGTCCTGCATATCTTCTATAATGTTCTACTATCAACAGTATAGTAAACAACTATCTTCAAGCTTCATCTAATGGAAACATCTTTCATTTCTATTGGGAATTTTCTCTGTCACATAGTTTATTTGAAATCCAAAGGTTCACTTGGTTCTGCCAGACTAAAATTACATTATTAAAACTAGAATTTTTACTCACCTGATCCTCCTTTTGCCAAGTATTTGTTCTTCGCATAAAGGACAGAATCTAACATAGACTCAAAAAGAAGAAAATAGCCCTGCATAAAAAACATAAAAAAAAAAAAAAAGATTTAGAAATGTGTAATCAATATCTTCATAAGTATATCAATTTAAATATCTGGGCTACTCTTTTTACAAAAAATATGTTTTTGTCTCTGCCGCATAATTTTCTGCAAAGTTTGAAGTTACTTTTTGCATTAAATTCTCCAAGTACATCTAAAAAATCAGGCCAGGGTATAAAGTGGACCCAGAAAGTTTATTACGGTCGAATGTACTGAACCTTCTTAATCTGTGCTTCCACTTTCTAGACCATTGTTTCTTCCTCATTAAAAGGAAAATCTGAGATAGGAATTGTTAATGTACCCTCTAACTCCCTGGAATATTGCAATATTAATCCAGACAGTGGTTCTCAGCCACATTTTTGTCCCCTGGAGGACATCTGGCAATGTCTAGTGCCATTTTTGATGGTCACAACTCAGAAGGAAGGAAGGGTGCTACTGGTATCTAGTAATGTAAAGCCAAGAAATGCTGATAAACATGCTACAATGCACAGGAAGCCCCACAACAAAGAACGGTCCAGTCCCAAAAGTTGATAGGGCTAAGGTTAAGAAAGCCTAGTCTGGAATAGCGTTTCCCAAAGAGCTTCCTGCCCAGTGACTTTCTCTTTTGTTTAAAAAAAAAAAAAAAAAAAGGAAGGAAGGAAACCTTTAAAAAACACCAGATGCTTTATCCTCATCTTGAGATTCGTAATGCACATTAGCACACTGATAGTTCTGGGTAGTGTTATGGTAAAGAGGTCTACTGAATATATCTTAACCATATCTTAACGTAACATGGTTACGTTTGTAGGTTTGCCTACAAACCTTTTCCTTTTCCTATTTTACACCTATCAATATCTTGCACAACTAGTGTTCTACATTCATGAAATACAGCCCTGGAGTACTCCAGATTTTAGAGACCAGTAATGAATCCTCTACCAAGAAAGGATAATCATAGCACAGGTGAAAAGAAAATTTATCACTACTGGTATAATGAGTAAGGGATCAATGACAGCTTGAGTCAGTCTTTCTCCTTTTATTTATTTATTTATTTTTGGTCTTTCTCCTTTTAGAGCCTACCCCCCAACTACCCAGAGCAGTAGGAAGAGTCAAGTGCTTAGCACATAAAACACTTTCTTACTGCTTAGAATAAACCAACATGAATTCTGCCCTAATGACAGCATTCTAAGTTCTCACTTACTCATTTGTTTTGTGCACAAATAACTGTTTGACAGGATAAATGCAATACTCTTTAACCACATGAACAAAGACTTTTTAAAGGGGTCTCTAGAAGAGGAAAAACCTGCAACTTGGGATGGATAATCTTCACAAGAGATTATTATTATTATTTTTAAAGATTTTATTTATTTGAGAGAGAGAGAATGAGAGAGAGAGAGAGAGAGCATGAGAGGGGGAAGGGCCTGAGGGAGAAGCAGACTCCCTGCTGAGCAAGGAGCCCGATGCGGGACTCTATCCTGGGACTCCAGGATCATGACCTGAGCCTAAGGCAGTCGTTTAACCAACTGAGCCACCCAGGTGCCCCAAATCTTCACAAAAGATTAACAGCACATTTAAATTTATAGAAAATGTAGCTCACAAGCCTGAATCACTTAAAAAAAACCTAATTAAACTGCCACTAGCAACTCTACATTGATGTTTACCCAATCCCAGCAACATACCAATTCATTGAAAAGAAAATACTTGCCTACAAAAGAAAGACTTAGCAACAAAGCCTTTTATTAATTTGTTTACATTAGAAAAATTAAGGATTTGGTGGAAACTGTTCTTCTGGTTAGAGTATCTCTGTAATATGTCTAACTCTTACAAGTTTGTTCACTGTTAATATCATCTGCATATTCAAAGAACAAGGAACTTTTGGAAGTCAACTAAGAAATCTTTATCAATCTGACATAATTCATGCAGATCTATGCACACAATTGCTTATAAATAAGCATTCATCTGTTAATTAAAGTGAATTTTAATTGATTCTAAGGAATTATTAAAAGAGAAGTCTTCTATTTACCTTCTATTACTTCTTTTTTCAGACAAGCCAAGACTATGTATATGTATGCACAGACAAAGGAAAAAGATCAGCTGGTAAAACATGTTAATAGGTTGGGGAAAAAACAGTCCTTATTTGCAACATTACTGCATGTTAAAACATTAATTAAAATAAATTAATTCACATTTTGATACAAACTTAAGTATTCATTATAGTCTAGTCTTTTTTGGAAGGGGGCAAAAAAAATTAGTTTGTCATTGATTTGGCACTGTGTCAAACTGTTTTTACTATTAACTTTCAAAGTAGTTGGCAAAAAGCTAAGTATTTTGCTTCCTATGTCCAAACTGTCTTACTTCCATGTACCACAAATAAACCAAAGTCTTTTCCATCAGTAACTGAAAGTAGCGCCTTCTAACAACATGCTTATTTACTGCATTTATGATAAAGTTATTATTAGCTATCTACCAGAGATTAAATTGTGGCGTATTTTAAACTGGTGCTAAAGTCAATACCAATAATATAGTGGTGAAAAGGGTGCACTCCTGGATTTAAATCCCAGTGGAGTCCCTTTCTCTCTTTTTTTTAAAAGATTTTATTTTATTCGACAGAGAGAGAGAGAGAGAGAGACACCATAAGCATGAGTGGGAAGGGGGAGGAGGAGGGCAGGGCAGAAGGAGAGGGAGCAGCAGACTCCCTGCTGAGCAGGGAGCCTGCTTTGGGGTGGGAGGCTCGATCCCAAGACCCTGGGATCACGACCTGAGCCGTAGGCAGACACTTAACTTACTGAGCCACCCAGGCACCCCAAGGAGTCCCTTTCTCTATATGACCTTGGACAAATTAACATCATTGTGCCTCAGTTTCTTCATCTGTAAAGTGACAATTATGGTATTCTACTTTATAAGGCTGTTCTGAAGATTAAATATGTTAATACACCGAAAAGGTTAGAAAAATAAATCTTATTAATTTAGCTTTAAAAATTAAGAGCTATTTAAAAATATATTTAAAAATATGCTTGTGAAGACTAATCAAAATTTTAAAATTATATTTAATAAATTAGAGAGTAAAGTTTTAAGAGCCTGTCCAGAATCATCTCGTTTATTTAGTCAATGGTCCTATATTACAATCCATGACTCAGAACTGGAATTCCTGTTTTTTCTTTTTCCAGGGGTCTAAGAGAATACATTTTCTTGTGTCACTTTTTTCAGACCAACCAAGACTATGTATATGTGTGCACATACAAAAAAAATATAAAACACTCAAAATTTCTTTACATTAAGAAATAGAATTTTAAAACCCAATAAAAGTAATTTGGTCACATTGGCCAAATTGGTGCCAATTCCAACTTTAAGATTCTTCTCACAAAGATAATCACAGGGATTTTTTTTCCCCCAAGACAAAAAAAAAAAAAATCAGTTTTATTTACTACTTCAAATTTTGGTATTTGCACTTAAGACGCTCCCATATGTCTGCTTCTATTTAAAATAGTAAACATCAATAAGCATTTTTCCACATACCCTATGATGATTACATTAGCTAAGCTTACAATTCTGATCAAACTGTATTAGAGATAGTTTCTAAAGTTTTAACTATTCAAACGACCTAATTTTCATATTATAGACATCAACACTAGAGAAGTTAAATGACTTAAGTCATATGACTGGATGAATAATACTGGACAATTTTTTGCTCCCCTTACAAAACAATGGTTTTATGATTCATTTCCTACTGTTGCTAAACTCAACAGTAAAATCAAGTGCAAACAAACAAAAGAAAGAAGATAATCATCCTTGGCAGCAAAAATACCCTTTCATAAATGGCATGTTTTTCCTTCCCATTTTTTCAATCAGTCATCATTATTGATCAGAGAATTTCTGAAAGCAAATAATCAAATGCTTTTGTTGATATAGGTAAAGGATTTAGCACAGTTCTTGGCATAGGGTTAACACATAAAACCTATGAAAGACTGTATCATGTGATTCTTTAACTTGATAGAAGTCACTATGTGGGGTCAGCTACCATGTGGTAGAATTGGGCTAACATGGATAGAAGCAGAAGGCTAACGTAAGTCTTTCTTCTTTCATCTTTCCCCATTTTTATCCCCCTTTTCTCTCTTCATTGGTGTACAATTAACAATGGTATTCTGTATCTATAATTTTTGACTTCAGTATCAAAGTATTGCTTATGTAAGTATATGATGAGGCTTCTATTCTGTCAAAGTAGTTTGTAAACCTTAACTTAAAGACTAGCTGATCTAGTAAATCAACAGAAAAGCATTCCTTCAAACCAAGAATAGATTCACATTTCTTCATATTTAGTCTTCAGTGAAGACTGACAATTTTATTGGTCATTCATTTCACTCAGCAGTCAGATTTCTGCTCAACTATTACCTCCTCAAAAAGGATTTTCCTGATGTCTCCACATAAAATATCATCTTTTTCCTCTATCAACCTCCATCTCTTTACCCTACTTTGTATTTCATTGTGACCCTCATGAATTAAAATGTGGTTTATTTTTGTGTTTAACTCTTGACTAAAATGTAAGCTCCCAGAGGAACAAGGATTTTATCTATATTGTTCGAAGCTATATTCCTGAGGGCTACAAATGTGGCTGGTAGACAGCGGGAATTCAGTACGAAATTTTTCAATGAATAAAAGAATAGGAGTTATTAATATCATACATCATTATATTTGTTAAAAATGAAACAGTACCTGCTTTTTCTTACTTTTCTGGTACTTAATAAAACTGGTTATTTTAAGAACTTTTTTTTTTTTTTAAAGTAGGCTCCATGCCTAGCGTGGACCCCAATGTGGCGCCTGAACTCACAACCCTGAGAACAAGACCTGGGCTGAGATCAAGAGTTGGATGCTTAAACTGACAGCCACCCAGGCACCCCTAAAACTGGTTATTTTTAAATGCTGTTTTGCTTTCTAAAATTAAAATTCTCAAATAGTAGTGATAATTGCTGACTTTTATTGTATTAAGTATCTTTTAAGAATTA